TGGATGTCCGTTTAAGGGCGGGTATTATAAAACTACATTGACAGGTAATTAAAAGTTAACTTCTAGAATGGCAGCAAATATCCAGTTAAGTTTCCCAAAATTTTGTAGAGGGCGCGAGTGAACTTGGAGTGCTTTGAATTTTGGCGGTAAATGTAAATAGTTTTAAACCGTTTTAAAGAGTAGGAGGAAAGATGACTGCATACCCACATAACAATGAAAGAACATTCATATTCTCAGAATATTCCCTCAAAGTGCTTTTTGGAATGTTCTTTTAGGAATGTTCAATGAATATTCTAAGATTGTTTCGATTGAAATATTCATTTTTGAACGTTCTATTTATGTACTAGGAATGTTGCTTCTATGCACCTACCTGAAAGATTGTGCTTAGAACCTACTTTATATAACAAGCTTTGAATATTGTCATACGAACATTATTATAATGTACCCTAAAAAATGTTCTTTTGGCTAATATCTCTATCAAGTATTAAGAATATACCTACCAAGTTGTGCTGAGAAGTTCATGTAGGTAGGTTACCATGATAAGAATATTTTCATATTGTTCACCTAATTATCTGAAGTACCTACTCAAAAATCATAATTTAACAATTAAACAATAATGCTCTATCTAGAACCTACTAAGAATATTATAGGTATATTCTTTTCCTCTTGCTTTGTAGGACTTCCAAGAGAGGGAGCCACGTGCTATTAAAGATCTACATCTTACCTCGCGTTTGAATCACCTTGGAACCTGTTTCTCTCAGTTGGCGTGCTTCGACGAGAGCATAACATGCTCGAAACCGGAGCTTTGGTTAAATACTTGTGTTTTTCAGAAGGTTTCCAACAACTCTTTCACTTCCTTTAATATAAAAGGGCTGAAAGGAGCATTATTTGGAAACGAAAATTAACATTCCAAGTATATCCTTAGAATCAACCAAGAATGTTATGTCTAGGATGCATATTGAGAATGATATATGTAGATATATTCAAAGAATATTTCAAGCATATTGGTATAATATTCTTTTGAGAACATAACTATAATGTCATAGAAACATTCTTTGAATGTGAGAATACCTATACATATCGAGCATATTTTTAGAATCAAACAATAATATTCTTTTCAGGATGTACTGAGAATCTCTCACTGAGGTATATTCTAGGAATATCCTAATGGATTTCTCAGGAAGTTCTTGGGTATTGCAAACAGTATTTCTACAATCTTTTCTCAGAACATTCTCAGGACATTCGCAATGGTTTTGGCGAACATTCTAGGCACATTCCTAATGAAAAAAGAACATTCTAAGGATGCAATTTTGTTATGTGGGTATGAACAATGCACAGTGAATAAGTTGAAATGTCTTCCAAAACATTCAGTGGCCCTTAAAGAATATTTCACTTCCTAGGATAGTATATGTAGACTTGGGTCAAAATACCCTCGTATTGTGCCGTTGTAGGACTTAGAAACAATGTCGCCGAATATACAGTATAAACGTAAATAGATGTCTTTATAAACCATTAAACAGCAAATCAAACTAAAATGTAACTAAAACACCGAAAAAATATCAAAAGAAGAAAGCATCACACTCCAACTCCATTAGGCAATCCAAACCACGTGACATTCAAGATGGCGTGGCGGCCACACATGGACCAAAAAACACAATAAAAATATCTAGTTTCTCCCCGACTTGAAAGTTTACGTACCTAGTAAACAAAAAATATTGAATAATCAAAATCAAAGCTGCAAGCACAACTCGAAGCAAAATAATTAAAATATACATGAAAACACATATTCAAAACAAACTTGCTGGCCGCCACGCCATATTGAATTTTTCGTTTTGACAGATGGATTGGATTGCCTAAAGCCGGGCTCAAACGACTCGTGTACTTGGCGAATAATCGTTACTTGCGTATACTTGCCATGTCGTGTGAGTGGGTTACTTGTACAATTATTTGTCACTCGTTGGTTTTCCATTTCTTGTCGGTAAAAATGTCCCGAGTCAAAGGGATCACGATTATTCGTACACTTGCCAAGTTCATACTTGTTTATACTTGTAGAGGCGCTCAAAAGAAATGCACAAATAATTGGCTTTTACTACGACTATTTCATTTAGTTTTCGACTAGCTTCAAGGTTTAGCCAAATGTTCGCGCTCGCGTACTTGTAAATTCCGTGCGTTCGTTATTTTGGTCTGAGTTCTCCGAGCTTGACTTTACCGTTCGTTTATTTGAAAAGTGTACACGGTGCAGCCTCATTCGCGTTCGTTTATTAAAATTTCTGACACTTTTATACAGCGTTCAACTGCTCTGTTCGCTCGCTGGTCACGTGATTACGGCTCCGCTCAGCATGCTCTGCTCTTTGAGCAAAATACCGAACGCAAGGATTGTAACACGTCGTGTGAGCGCCCTGCTTGCCATCGCAATTCGCAAAGCTCGTATACTTGCCAACTACGCGAATAATTGTGTATTCGCCAAGTACACGAGTCGTCTGAGCCCGGCTTAATATAAACAAATGGGATAAGGTTAGGTTGTCTTACCTCCAGTGTCAATTTAGTGGCGTCACGTGCACGAAACCAACTGACGCGCCAAAATTTAAAGAGCTCCAAGTACAGAAGCGCCCGCTTCAACTCAACTGTCAATATTATATGCCATTACATGAGAAGTATCATTCCAGAAGTTAACTTTAAGTTATTCTTTCAAAATAGTTTTATAATACCCGCCATTAATCCTATAAATTAATATTTAAAATTAGCAAGAGGTAAGCAAGAATATAGCGGCGTTTTCAAGAGTCTCTGTAGTATTATTTCATTTGGAGACTAGTGTAGTGAGTGAGGTACAACTGTCACCGCTGGCACTTCTAGGAATAGTATTTAATAATAATAATTGTTGCGTTATTCAAAAAATACCAGCAACAAGCGTGGTAGAATACCTTTTACCGGCTTTTAAATACTAAACTTAAATGTTATTATTTGTAGGTCAGAAATAAGATTATAAAGTAAATTTATCATCTTTTCTTATTTTTCGTTGGAGAAGTTTTTTGTCAAAAAAAAACTTAAAAGCTTTTATCAATTTAACTTCGCACGATTCTCCCGAGTCGCGTGCTTTCTAAGAGTCACAAGTATCGGAGTCAATCAGACTAACTTCCTAGCCTAGAAGAACGCTTTTTTAAATCCAAGTGCTCCATGTTTCACGAATCAGGCAAGACGTCCCAATCAGAATGACAAGGCTTCATGAGGGCGAAATGCATCCAACAAGTGCGTGATCGACTTTTGGACTGCGCGAGTGGATCAAGATCCTTGTAGTTAGGCCAAGACCATAGGAAAATAATTCACATCTTCTTCCTTTCTAACTTTACTTAAAAGAACAATAATTCCATTGTAGTATCGTCAAAGGAAAAAGCAGTTCTTTTTGCCAAACAATTTGCATCCAATTCCACGATGAAGGACAATGGCACTCATTGGTTCTTATATGGACATTGGGTATTATAAAACTATTTTGATAGAATAACTGAAAGTTAACTTCTGGAATGACGCTACTTCCCATAGTAATTCCAGAAGATAACTTTTAGTTAAGTATCTGTCAAAATAGTTTTATAATACCCGCCCTTACTCTCAACTTTAGCCTAGTAGGCGTTGCCTAGTACTCATAACCGCGAAATTCGCTTTTTTTTGACATTGCTTCGACAGTTTGACGTTTGATTCACGCTTAAACGTCAAATTGTCGAAGCATTGTCAAAATTAAGAGCGAATTTCGCTGTTATGAGTACTAGCTGTGGTACTAGGCTTTTTACCGGAAATTTTTGACAGCTACCGGTTTATTTTACCGGTCAATTTATCGGTGATAGGTATTTGGCAAGTGTCCTATCCGTGCGTTCGTTATTTTGGTCCGAGTTCTCCGACCTTGACTTTACCGTTCGTTTATTTAAAAAGTGTACTCGGTGCAGCCTCGTTCGCGTTCGTTTATTAAAATTTCTGGCAGTTTTATACAGCGTTCAACTGCTCTGTTCGCTCACTGGTCACGTGATTACGGCTCCGCTCAGCACGCTCTGCTCTTTGAGCAAAATACCGAACGCAAGGTATATAGGATTTTAAAGAACCAATCAACAAAAATAAGACAGCAATAGTTGTATTCCTTTCACACCTAGGAGGAGCTCCGGAACAGCTCCGGGGCTTCACGCGCTTATTCCTTTCGAAAAGTGTTTGTTGCGCCACGCATCTGTTCCCTGCAAATCGGGGGCGACTAAACACCGGAACGAGTAGCTCGAGTGTCTTAAACTCTTGAAAGGAATACAACTAATGGTCGTCAGTGTGGTAATAAAAGCCGCTTTCCAGCTGACGCTTTTGAGCACGCAATCGAGCTTTTGCGCGCGCAAATGCTTCAAGCGCGTGTTCGTGTTCCAGCTGTACTGCGCTTCGAGAGCCTGCTCACTTTTGCGTTTCAAATACAGAACACTGTGCTGCACCGTGCTTGAAGCACACAGCTGAAAAGCGGCTAAAGTCACTGTAAATAGTTATATTGCATTCACACCTACGAGGAACTCCGGAACAGCTACGGGGAGTTACGCGCTTACTCCTTTCGAAAAGTGTTTGGTACATCTGAGTTCTCAAGCCCGAATCAAACCATTTAAATGCACGAAAGCCAGCGCATCTGTTCTTTTCAAATCGGGGTCGGTTAACGCCGAAGCGAGTAGCTCCAGTGTTCTAAACTCTTGAAAGGAGTACAACTTATTTGCGCTTGCACGCTCCAGCTGCCCACTTCACAAACTCGGAGTATATCGAGCTCGCTTGGAGCGCTCACAATATTTCAAACCAAACACATTAGAGCGAAGTCAGAGCTTCAAAAATAACAGATGAGAGACATAAGTGCAAGCTCTGAGTGCACCGAGCGTGAACCCACCCAAACGCAACCTAAATAGAACGTGCCGCTCAAAAAGTGCAATCAAAGTCGCTCGGAGTCACTCGCAGATGTAGAAGGAACGCGGTTACTGTTGTGTCGTGTCTCCTGTCTAGTTACGTCGAAGCACCGGCTGATTTGAAATTAACTTGTTTTTCAAAATTTTATAGTCAGTTTTTTTTTTAAGGTTATGGTTTTCTGGATTCCCTAGATTCTGTAAAACCGTAAAACGTTTTTGAGTTGAGTATCTCCATAAAATGGGGCTGCCAAACCTCTTTCCCGCGATTGGTTTTGCATTTTATGCAGTGGTTTCCAAATTATTGTTTGATCAAATTTATCTAACCTCCAATATGATTGTTGATGAGGAATTTCATATGCCCCTTGGTCAAAGATACTGTAGATATAGGTTCAGGGAAGTAAGTACACCGATTTTAAATATAAAGCGTCTATTCCAGTACAGATTTGTCTAATTATCAAACAGTGAAGTACTACTGCTGATTCTGATCAGATAGCTGGTTGTGAATATAGTTTTACCAGTACATGCTCTGATGTAATATTATGCCCGCCCCATATGATGAGGACATAAGGTCATCCCCAACTCAACACTGGCAAATATCTATCATTATACCTACCTACTAATAGGTTTATGTTGTCATGATATTTTTTCACAATAGTTCCTAACATTGGTACCTACTCCGGTACCTACCTACTTGTCCAGTTGTTTTCAAATGTTTTAGATGATTTTAAATTAAATTTAAAAAGGCAATAAATAATTTGTTATTTTATAATGAATTCTCATTTTATTGCTAACATAAGTAGCATATAGAGTATTTTTCAACACTACCACATGATACCCTACTCTCATTCTCTATTCTCGAGTTTGACAACAATAGCTTCCAACTAAGTACCAAAGTCATACCTTGAAGAAAAGCTATTATTGACCTATTTGCAGGCTGAGAATGGCGCCATCCAAGCAGATTGGAGTTCAATGATTTCCTCGATGATTTCTCTTGAAGAAAATTCCCTTAGGGTCAGTTTCTCAATAGCGAGTCACCTCCGGATTTGTTTTAACTCCAGGGTAAGCGTGTCCAGTTGCAATGTTTACCCTGGAGTTATGCTTAACCCAGGGGTGACTTGCTATTGAGAAACCGCACACTCCTTGTGTTTATGTTAAGATTAAGAAGCATTTTTAACAAAAAACATATTTTTTAGGGAGCAGTACTTTTTGGTAAGGGATGATTTTGCTGATCTTAAAAATGAAATGTAAAGGGGTGATTTATGGTTTAGTTAGCTTTTTTTTAAAGGTATATATCATAATGTACCTTATTATTGTTAGTCAATAAGTTATATTCTAAGCTTTTAGCTTATTTTGTTTTTTGACATGTTTTGCAGAGGTCTCTTTCAGGATTGTAATTTGTGGGTCCCTGGGGACAATGATCCATATTAAGTGAATTAACGACATAATAATATATACAATGTATATATGTCATAGGGCGCATAAAATGTATAGCTCGATGTGTAGGTAGGTACTTAGTTAAAAAAAAAGGTATTTTTCACAATAAATGGTGGACTCCTTTCAACTACCTGGGACGTTTTGCAAGAGCTCGGCCATGAACACATTGGGAATACACCTAGTTTTATTGCAGTCAATAACTCGATAACAATTATTGTGAAATATACATACTTTTAATGCAAATTGCTGGATGGTTCTTGAATGTGTTTGAAGGTGTCCATATTAATGTGAAAAAAAAAAACTGCAGCTAAATGTTACATAATTTAAAGCCACATAACCCCTGCATAATTTGGGGCACTAGTCATGGGATCAAGACTATTCAAATGCTGGAATTTTTTGTCCTAAAGGAAAACAATGAAATCCAATATTCACATACTTAAAAGCCTGATGTTTACAGCGAGGATTTGTTGCAAGTCTCTATGCATCTTGAAAAAACTGTCTCAGCTTGATATTATTTTAATTTTGATAATGCCGCTTGAAACCTTTCCTTTAACCTTCAACCTCGCCTTCAACCCAAAGCCAGCTTTCCAATTGCAGCTGAGCTTCGATCGAATCAAAAAATGTTAAAACAAATTGGAATGAACCCTCAAAGACATTTTATGAGACAATTTTCCGCAATGTTTATATCATGATGCATTATATAGGGTGTCCCACCAGGAACCAAAGCACCAAATCGACCTATAATATTATGAAAAACCGAGTGAAAAAGTGTATACAGAAAAATTTTGAAAATTTGACAATATACCTAGGTACTAATGTCAATGGGGGCAACAACTAAAATATTTTCAAGATAATGGCACTTCCTGTTATACCGAAACTAGACGTCAACGTGCTTATCTTAAATGAAACACCCTTTATAATACGGGGGAATCGCGGCGGCATCTAAGACTTGGATACAGCACTGAACAACATTTTGCTGTATTAGTACTGACTGTCAATAGGCCGACCAAAAATCAGTACTTTGCCTACAGGCACTAAACTTGGGTTGGGTTTCTTTGCTTTCCTAGCCACACTGATGAGATCTGATAGATCGAAAGGCGTCTGTGGATGGAAAAGCGAAGAAAGTTAACCAAAAATTTTCTCCGTTTATATTATTTCATTTTTGGTTTCTACTCACATTTTCGGAATAGAAAACTTTGCATAAACTTATCCTCATTTTAAATGCTAACTAAATAAGCTAAAATTTGGGGGGTTTCCATTTGAAAAATTGATTTTTGGCAGTTTTATGAATGTTATTTTTAATCTTTTTTTTTTAATGTTAAAAAAACATTTTATAGGTAACTCGGGAGGTAACTTACTATACTTATACATAAAATTATATGTAATAACAACACAAATAAATATAAGAATAAAAACTTATACAAAATAAACAAAATTGAACTAAAAACAAAAAATTTCCTCCAAATCTGAGTCCTCACCTCGGTCCTCACAAATAGAACCCATCACCAGAAACAGCACCAGCAGATAATTTTGAAGATTTTTCTTAATATGATTTTGCCAGCGTGTGAGAGCAGGTTGCATGTTGCATCCCACAAGAGTTGCTTACCACGTTTCCATGGGATCAGCGTCATCCCAGGTGTTAGTTTTATTTTTTGAACACCCTGTATTAAGATTTATCAAAATGTTATTAAAAATCTATTGAAGTAAGTCCTTGTCAACAAGGAATCCAGCCCAAATCAAATTGTAAAATATTACTTATATGAAAAATTCATAATTATTTTAAGTAGTGCCTGCAAACCTAATTTTTGACATAAAAAATTAGAAATGTCAAAAATGCTTAGACTTTGGTAGAAGACATTGTACACGGAATCTAAACCAAAAATGAAATAATATATAGGTTGTCTCATTTAAAATAAGCAAGTTGACATCTACTTCCTGTATAACATCTTCAAAATATTTTAGCCAGGTTGCCCCCTTGCTGACATTAGTCTCCACATTAGAATACTGTGAAAATTTCCGTGTACAATTTTTAATACATAGATCGATTTGCTTCTCGGTGGGACACCCTGTATATTTTATAGACGAGTGTAATGTAAGCATATCCATCTATTTCAGTGGGACCCAAAAGTAACAACACTACCAGGTTTATATTTGAGCAGTACATTACTGTTAGGACCGCTTGGCTTATGTTCAAAATACTGGTTAAGAGCCACTTCATTGATTTTTTCTGGCATAAACTTAGTTCTCTTGTACATGCTTGTTTCAAAGACAGTAAAAGTAAGTCCATACAATTTTGCCATGTTTTTTTTTTTTTGGTAATCCATGTATTTGTTTGTTAAACTGAAAATAATTTTAGATTTTAGAATAACAAACTTGTTTTAGGGTCAATGGCAAAAAGTGATCACAACTCTTGCAATAGCTTTTTTACCACCACTGTATTTTCTAGCTCATGTTTATTATACCGATGTAGTTTCATTAACTACAATCTTACTCCTCATAAGCTTTCATGAGCGAAGATATCACTACTTTGCTGCTCTTGCTGGTAAGAAAAATAATTCACCACTTTAAAGAAATATATGAAATAAAACAGTTTTCATTCATAATGTTCTATAAAGTCTTTTTTTTTCATCAAATGTTTGACTCGATGTTTGACAATAATTTTAGGATTTGCATCGATAATTTGTCGACAAACAAATGTAGTTTTTGTGGGAATTTATGGAGGAACTTATGTATTAAGGGAAATATATGGTTTTTGGGCCAAACACACCGAACCATACGTGAAAGCAGGACGTTTTCCATTAAAAGTAAGTGTATGGGGTTTGTATGCGCTACAAGTTCTAGTAGGTATAGAATAGGGTAGGTACCTACTTATCATTCTTTCCGTTTTTTTTTTTTTTTTTTTTTCTTTATTTTGTTCCAAACTCGGTTCCAAAGATATAACTGATCAATTTATTGGGAATTGAGATGATCTTGCGCTACTTGCAATAGCTATATTAACGAAAAATAGAAAATATCACATTGATTGAGACATTGATAGGCATATATTATACTCTAGGCAATAGAGACTAAATAAAGGGCTCATCTGGAAAAAATAGTAGGATTTAGTTTTACAGGCTAACTTTATGTATTTTGTATCGCTAATTCCGAATTTTTCACTTCCCACCAAAAAATCTCACCAGAAATCCCATTATTTTGAAAATGGCGCGTTTTTTTGAAAATATCTATTTTTTTTTAATGCAAATACAATAAACAATAAATATTTTTTCAAATGCTTAAACGCATAAAGGCGCTAATGCGTCGTCAAAGTTGCTCTCTGATGCTGCGAGGCGGACACGCAACGGACATTGTCAGCCCTGCTTTAATATACCTAGTGGGTTACTGGATTAACGGGTGACCAAATGGGGAATAAGTTGCGCAATCAAGTGCCTACAAATAATCTGTCATCTCATCAACGTCTTTAAATTCGGAATAGCAACAGATATACAGGCCAAAAAAGGAAAAAGTGGGTTTCATAAAATCCGGTCTATGCGAAAGGTTCAAAGAAGTCGATGACAGATTATTTGTAGGCACTTCATTGCGCAACTTTTTCCCCATTTGTATATCTTCATTATTGGTTTCTAAGATCTCCATGTACTTCAAGTTATTCCCAACACCCTGTATTTAAATGACCTAAATCCAGTGATGTTAGTGAGTCATGACCAACGCGCATGACGGCGGGTCATGACCGTCACGTCACATTCAATGTGACCGTTAGTCATGACCGTTTTACTGCATAGTGTGTAAATGTGCAATAGTAAAGTAGACTGCATAGTATGCGGTAAAGTAGATTCGGTGTTCAGGTACTCTCAAAAATCCCTTCTCGTTCAGAAATTTCAAAAATGCCTTTTTTTGGAGATAGATGCTCATAGGTATAATTTTGAATGCGGTGAAGTATCACTTACTGCATTTGTTAGGTGAAAAGCTATTATTTTTGTTATTTTATTTGTTATTTGTTGAAATTTCTTCTGTTCTGAAATCCTCAATTATTTGTCAAAACTCAATCAATAATTGACTGTCCCTATTTTAAACCCATTTGTGAGTTTAAAGACCATAGACTGTGGGTAGTGGCGTTCTAAATTGAAATAATTACTATGAACTATGACCATGATCATGACCGTCATGACATGTCATGACGCAAATGACCGTCACGATTTTAAATGACCGTCATTTTACATCAGTGCCTAAATCACTTACGGATTCAGTGTAAAATTTTTCAATATGCCGATGAGACTATTTTCTGGCATCAGCATCATGCCATCCTGTAATTCCTTGGTCTTTGGTGAAATCTGAGTTGGCTGTCGTGATGGAGTGGTGTGCATCTAAATCCTACTATTTTTTCCATATAATAGTCTCTATTGCCTGGAGTATTAAAGTAAAAACTACAACAGCTCTAGGAGTTAACACTAAGTTAGATGCCTATTTTAGGTGATACCACTATGCAATATAAGGAATTATATTAGAAAAAAAGGAGTCATTTTTGTGTTTCAATCCTATTTGTAAAGTTGCCAATGTTTTTTTCATTTGTGTTTTAATTTAATTAGTATATTATCGGTATAATTTCTGTTTTTTTTTTACAGGACATGAAACCTTTCATCAAAGATTTTCTGAAAGATCCAATGAGAATTTTAAGACACACCACCCCGAAATTTTGGGTAGATTCTGCATGTTATATTAGTGTTCTGGTATTTTTCATAACGTTCGTATTTTTGAACGGTGGCATAGTTGTTGGAGATAAAAGTGCTCATACTGTCTCTATTAACATACCACAAATATTTTATTTTAGTGTATTTTGTATGATATTTGCATGGCCATTTTTTGTCTGTGAAATATTTAATTTTTTTGATTTTGTGACACGTCAAAAACTTGTAATATGCTTGTCTATGGTCGTTGCACTTCTTATAGTTCATTTTAACACTGTGGTGCATCCTTATTTGTTAGCTGATAATAGACATTTTATATTTTATGTTTGGAATAGGTTTTATGGAAAATATCCTTGGTTCAAATACTCCATGGTTCCTATTTATGTTTTTGCACTTTATGTAGTCATTAAAACAATTTGGGACAAATCTGACATTAGTTTTTCCATATTATTCTTTGTTGGAGTTGGTACATTGCTTGCTAGTCAAAGCCTTTTGGAGCTAAGATATTTTTTGTTGCCTTACATCATCTTCAGACTTAAAGTGAAAAATAAAGATCAACCCAATTTCAATGTTGGCCTTGAATTTTTTACACATATCCTTCTAAACATGTCGGCTTTTAAAATTTTCTTTACAAGACCTGTATATTGGCAGGGATACAATGATATTCAAAGAATTATATGGTAATAAAGTTTTTAAGTTCATATTTAAACTGCCCTTTGTGATGTAGAATATATTTTTATATGAGTGTCAATAATAATAATTATCAATAGTTAACTTCAGTTCTCTTCGATATTTATCATAACCTATAAATTGCTTCAATCAATTAGGCGATCCGAATCAGCTGATAATTGAAGATGGCGACGAGGCCCGAAATGTAAACAAACATTGCCTTCATATAAATGTGTGTTATTTCTACCTGTTTCAGAGTTTAATTTGATGAATTTTAATTTATTTCAATTTCCTTTAATGTTCGCAGTTAAAACCGAGTTACTTGGGAATGGGATATTTATCTATCAATAAAATACCTGGGCATCAGGTACAAAACGGACCCCAAGAAGCTGTGCAAATGAATGTCAAAAACTTGCATGAACCACAGCAACGCCAAAAATAAAAGTTTCTATCAAAAAACGTTCTCAAACTGATAAAAACACTTTAGAAATTCATAGAAAATACACAGGCTCTTATGGACGTCAAGTTTGTTATGCCTCGGCGCCATCTTGTACGTCAAACATCAAATCGCCATATTATTATAGGAACAAAAAGGTTACCTAATAATTATTATTAGAAGGTATCTTTTGTATTTCAATTGTGGGGCCATTGCTGTTTTGTTCCTTCTATGTCTTAAGTATAATGATTTAAAATTTAGTTTTTTAAATATTATAAATTAGGGAGAAGACTGGGTTAAACACCAAAATAGAGCTAATTAATTTTATTCAGGCTTTGACGTTACTAGGTACGATTTTATGTTTTTAGTTTTGTATTTTGTAGGTATAAATTTATATAACCGACAAATGACAATGGTGTTTTTAGGTCTAATTAATGTATACCTACATTTCTATTCCTATAAGGTAGGTAAGACTTTGCACGTAACTTGCTGTCACCTTTTTTTTTTCGATTTATTTTTAACAATTTCTAAAAAAAAATCAATCTCTTTGATAATTATTTAAAGTTTTGTTTAATATTTCATTATGAAATTCCACCAAAAAATAATAATTAATATTTGTAATAATCTACCATATTATTTTTTTGTTGAATGTTTTATTGTTTAGTTAAAATTTACTCTGTTTAAATTTTATTCAATTCTGAATTACATACTTGTCGTAGATGCAAAATGTTTCAATTGGATATCAAATATACCTACATTTTTTGAATTTGATCGTTTTTTATTTTTCAAAATTTTGTTGAAATGAGATAAGAAGACAACACTTATTTTATAGTCATATCCGTTTTTTTAATACATTGTTTTAAGTAAAGGTGTGAAGTAAATGAAACACTTTTGTTCTAAAATAAATTATTATTATTTTTAACAGGCATTTAACCGTCTATATACTTAATATAAAAGTTAGAATTTAGTTCAATATCACAACAAAAGGGGAAAAATGAAAAGTCTAGTTCGCTTGTACATCATGGTCTGACATCACCAAATATAAAAACTGAAACGCAATAGCTAACAACGTAATACCAAGTAAATCTCCTACAGATGTCAGGTATGGAATAGCGGAATTGTCTGGATCAATTTTCTTTTTCCACATCCAGTGAATCATTATATAAGCTACATAAAGCAAAGTTGCGACTTGCATTATCGCTGCTAACAAATACACTACAACAAAAACAGAGCTGAGGGAAGTATCCCCATCTTTCATGTAGTCAATCGTATAAATAAAAATTACATGACCAGGTATAACTAGAGTCATTAAAACTCTAGTTGTTCTGGCGTGACAGTCGTTCCTACAAAAAGCTGTCATAGGGGATATAAATATTTTTTTGCTTTCATCTTCCCCGTCTGTATTTAATACACCCAATTCAGCTTCTTTATGTAGTGCTGTTGATATTCTACTTGAGTGGACTGCAACTAAATTTCCACCAACTCCATTTATAACGGGTTGAAATACAGCTATTCCTTCAAATCTAAAAAAAAAAACATTTGAAGGTATTGTATAATATATTGGCCAATAAAGGAAGAATTAGAATGAGAAAAGTGCGATTGGGACTTAATCCAACTCACCTAGAAACCATAAAATCCAATATAAGACCGCCAATTGAACTTATAAGCATAGCACCAACAACTGGGGTCCAACCATGAAATAATACTTCTCTAGTTTGAGGATTTCTTTTGGCGATCCATACCCATAAGGGAATGGCTAAAATATAAACTGCTATGATAAGCGGAGCTAACCAGTCTTGTTCGCCTAGAAATGAATACAGAAATTTGGTAATGCCAAATCATGTGGGAGTCAATAGAAACCATTTAGACAAAAGGATTGTGCATATCATAAGAGCTTCAGACTTTAGTGGAATTTTTGTATATGGTAAACCAAAAGTATTTTTGCACGATAGCACTAGCCGCGTTTTTAACCGAAAATAGGCCGTAGAATAAAGTAAATGCTGTTTCAAATTCGTGGTTTCTATTGCTTTTCAAATGAAAATAGATTAACTTTCAAAAAACAATAAGATTTCATTCTCGACAAAGCGATTCATAATCTTGAAAAAATGCTTAATAAAAAAAAAACTAACGGCGGCAAATAAATTTGGGTAATGGTTCAAAAAAAGCCAACCAAAGAAGAAAAATTTAAACAACAAAAATTGTAACTAAAAATTAAAAAAAAAAAGAGCAGAAGAAATAACGAAATTTTGAGGGGTACTTCGTACCTAATAGGTAAATGGAAGTTTGAATTTATCCCTGTTTCTGGCATATCTGACAGACTATCTACTATGTAAGAGAGATTCGACATTTTTACCGATAAAAATAGGTTTGCAGTGTTCTCTCGGGCTTGTTCTACTCTTCATCGTTCATAAAAAGCAATCTAACAACATACTAGAAATCAAAAGTGTATCTCCAAGAGTAATATAAATCATAAGAACTTGAACAACAAATACAACCTAAAAATAATACAAGCATACGCTCCGGCATCAAGTTCGGGCAAAGATGAAGTAAAGATCTTCTATGATGATATTATATTGTAGCCCTAACACAATCCAGCTTATTACACACAGATTCTAGGGTAACTACGGTTTTGGTAGGCGAAACGAGAGAGGACATTGGTTATTGAATTACCTACTACATGAGCACCAGCTTTTCGCAATGAATTCCTTCTTCGATGACAAACTCCAACGGAAATGGACATGGTTAAGGCCTCATAGGATTACTAAGAAAAAATGAGACTACATCATCTCGATTAAAAAGACATTGTCCATGACGTTACAGTCCTCAATAGGGTCTCTATTGGGAGTGATCACAGGATAGTACGAGCGGAATTGAGATTTAATATTAAAAAGGAGAGACAGAAGAAAGGAAAAAACAATAGAATGGACACCCCCCCCCCCCCCAAACATATCAAGGAAAGATAGATGAATGTAATGTTTGGGAACATCGATAAATACAAACGAAACTGATGTAGAAATTTTGAACACAGGAATTCTAGAAGCTATAAGAGTGGCAAAATAGAAATACTGCGAACCAACGAAGAAAAGGGAAGGCAAGCTAAGCCAACGTACAAAGACACTTATAAAAGAACGAAGAGAACTAAAAGAGAAATACTGTACAAATGAAAAATCTAAATGATAAATACAGGGTGTCCGGAAAGTCAACGATAATACTGAAAGGGGTGATGGAGCAACTCATTAGCATTCAGAAAAACATAATATAACCTTAGTAAAAAGTCGATGGTTTCTGAGATATTGTTACTTTAATAAAATTCGTTAAAATCGTCCTCTTGGATCAGATTTTCCAGTGTCACCTTAAAATTTTCATTATTCTCAGATTCTGAATTCAGTTTTGCAATGGGGAATAAACATTTAACATTCCATTTGTCATAGACCAACATTGAAACTCAAAGTTCAAAACTTTTATTAAAAAATCTTCTGATACTTCACTTCAAAGATTTTTTCTAAATGTTTTGAGCTTTGACTTTTAATGTTGGTCTATGACAAATGAAATGTTGAATGTTTATTCACCATCGCAAAACTAAATTCATAATCTAAAAAAAATGAAAATTTTGAGGTGACAGTTGAAAGCTGATCCAAGAGGACCAATTTACCGAATTTTATTAAAGTGACAATATCTCGGAAACCATCGCTTTTTTACTAAGGTCATATTGTGTTTTTCTGGATGCTAATGAGTTGCTCCATCAGCACTTCCAGTATTATCGTTGACTTTCCGGACACCCTGTATACATACACATCAGATGATTGGGAATGTGATCGAGGACAACGGAAACCTTAAAACTCCCAAACGTAAACTAGGCCCAGATAAGAAGAATCTAAGCTTGCTAAGAAACGCCGAAGGCCAAATTACAGCAGATAAATAGGGGATACTTAAGTTAAGTGGAGAACTTCTACAGAAGATTATATACAACAAAATTAGAGACAAACAATATCTCCAGTACCTAAGGTTCTGAATGTGGGATCAGCAGATATTTCATTACCAAAACTGAAATTGAGAAGGCTCTATCCGAGATGAAGAACAAAAATCGCCCGGTGAAGAAGGAGTAAACATAGAAACCATAAAATGTGGTGGCGACAAACTGCTAAATACTCTAAAGCTACTGTGTAATCCCATCCGAAGGGAACAACGATGGAACGATATCATCACATTGGTCCGACCAATTAGCCTGATTTCCCAAAGGACCACGCACCGGATTCATGGGGTTTCGGCAGGGGCGCAACTAGCTTGTTGGTTTTGAGGGGGCTTGAGCCCCGGGTCTCTATAAGTCGATTTCGTGACAGTATATGATGTTTTCCAAAACTTACTACCTACAGTACGTATTTCACAAATGCCTGAATTTGACGGAAATACTCTGCTATAAATTTTCTTCTTCGATATAATCTACGTTCTTATTTAAAAAAAAAAGTTATAAAAGACGGCCGCGTTCACCAGATACAAACGTTGGTAAACGCTTGCGATTGTTCTGCTGAACGCTACGTTGAATTTGTGTTGAAATCAAATATGTTTTGCAAACGGTCGACATTTTTGCAAGCATAATTTCAGAGTGTTTATAATTTTCAACACTTTTTGTGCTTTGTGTGGTGACATGACATTCAGAGGGTGACGTTCTATCATTGAAAAGTTGAATCGTTCAGCAGAACCAAGAGTTTACCCAACGAATTCTGTTGGTATTTGTAAACTGTTTACAATTCGTTTTGGTTCTGGTGAACGTAGCCATTTTTATAAAAAGATTCATGTTCAAGGTATCCATGTACGAAAAAACATCGCCTGTAAAACTTGAAGTTTCAGCCGTAGAAAATCAAAATCGAAATCTTGGTATTCTTGCAAATGCATATTTTCAAAGCTTGGAACTTATGTTTGCCTACTAAAAAGTTAATGAAAACTGCAGAAAACTATACAAAATGCTGTATATGTATATGTTAGCCATTCTGCTCCAAGCATTTATGGATTAATAAATGGTTGAATGAATTGTGTAACATTTCCTGGACAATCGCTTCAATGACATTACAAATGTACCGCTCAAGATCTTCCAGGCTATTTGAGCAAAGTATTACCGCATCTTTCCTTGACATCACCCAAGAGAAAAAAGTCTAGAACTCTCAAGTCAGGAGAGTAAAGTGTCCATTAAGGACCAGCTCTCATCCGTTTTTCCCCAAATGCCATTATCTAGTGATTCCGTTGCTATTAAAGAATAATAAGGTGGGGGCACCATTCTGCTGAAAATAGATATCATCATATCCTCCTGTCTTAACTGTGGGAAAAAGAGCATATCAGTGTATACAGTTTCTGTTGTAGTTGGTTAATAAAAATGGTCTGTATTTTTTCTCAATAGAGACTGCACACCAAACTGTTACTGTTGGGGTATCTGCATTCAACGATTTCCCGAGAAAATACTCTGGAACTCGTTAAATTTTCTTGGAAAATGTATTTTAACTTAATTTAAATCTAACTAGACAGTTACAAAATTGTTTGCTATAGACATAGAGTAATATCAAGTACCTACAACATAAAGTTGCATGCATTTGCAAAAATACCAAAATTTCAATTTTGATTTTTCACGGCTAAAACTTCAAGTTTTAGGGACGATGTCTATTGGTACATGAATACCTTGAACATGAATCTTTTTTTTTGACGTTGTCATATACAGGGTATTCCATTAGAAATAGTGGAGAATTTTGATGTTGTAAAACGGATTTTTTTTACTCGGCCTGTATACGTTTCAAAAAAATTTGCAACCTACTAAAAAAAACTTTAGGCCAAGAGAAATCGAATGGCACAAACGCAGGTACCCAGCACACGGTTTAAAAGTTATAAGCTTTTAAAATGGGTCACTCTCGGCTGGGACCCGCTGTATATTGAGTTTAAAACTTCTTAAACTGCTTAAATCGGTACTAAAAACAACTTAAAAACTGAACAAGTTCTGTTAAATTGAATTCTTCCTAAGTGCACAAACAGACACGGACCAGCAGACGAAAGGGTAAAAAACTGTTGTGTCACTGGAACGCACCCTACTTTAAACTTCGTGTTTTTGATGCCCCATAAAATAGCAGGTGCTTGAGAGGGCAGGGGAGAGGAAAAACGAACAGTTCAGTTGCGCGAAACTCTAATGCACTGGAACGCCTATAAACAGTCCTGGGCCGGTATTCTGGTTCTCAAAAACGCTCACCGCTTTCTAGTCGATCGGCACTTTAAATGCAAATTTACATTGAAACTGCCGAGCGACTGAAAAGCGGTGAGCGTTTTCGAGAACGAGAATACCGGCCCAGGGCGCTCTCGAGCAGCTCAGGAGTGCTTAAAGTGCGTTACTGGAAAGCGACTCAGATCTGCTCGCTCGGGTTTGGAAGGACGGATGGCTAATTTGTGTCATTACTCATTACCATCATGTTTGTGACCATCGGGTTTGGGGGGGCTAATCTTGAGCTTGGGGGGGCTTAGCTCCCCCCAGCCCCCCCCCTAATTGCGCTACTGGGTTTCGGTGAAAATCTGTGAAATTTCAAAATTTTGTATAATTTAACGTGTTGATTTGAAGTCCAAATGGCAAAAGTTTTTTAACCCCAATGGTATGCCTTTTATAAGATCTCTTATTCCGGACCCTTTGTAATCTATACAGAACGTTTATTGATTGATTGCTCTAAAAAAGCCTTTGACGCAGTAAACCAACACGAGATACTAAAGGCATTATTCAGCTGTCAAATGAACCATCGCTACACAGTACTGTTGAAGCACATGATAATGCAACAGCCTCTGTCAGCAAATTCATTTGGAGGAAATGGAAGTCAATATATAATCGGAGAGAAACTATCCCACCTAAAATTTGCGGACGATATTAGTTATTATCCTAATCCTAATCGCTCACCGAATGGTCCACGTAACTCTAATGTTAGAAAAACTGTATCTGGCATCACAAACGGTATGGTTAAAAATCAAAGTCGGAGTATTTGTGTAAGAGGAAAAAATTTAGAGGAAACAGCTGTTTACAAATACTTGGGACATTGATATATGGACTCCCGCAGAAGAGGACTACAATGGGCTCCCTTTGGAAAAATTCGCAGTGTCTTTAAATCATCTTTTCCAACTTGTCTAAAGAGAAAGGTAGAGTAAAAATCAAACGAGAAGAAGCCACACGCGTTATCGTTTGTCTCACTTCAAATAGGAGGGACCCAGAGAAAAGGAAATCTGCCTTCTTTTTCAGCGCTGACGTCAATGGCTTCTTCTCGTTTGATTCCTACTCTATTCAACCAGTGCGTGCTTCCAGTTCTAACGTACAGAGCGGACACCCTGACACTGAGAAAAAATCCGTGAAGAAAATTAGAGTTGCTCAGTATGCCATGGAGCGATCGATGTTGCGATTGTCTCTCAGAGATCGGATGACAAACATCGAAATCCGCAGAAGAACTGGAGTAGAACACTCCATACAAAAAATAACCAAACCGAAATGTAGAGGTGGGAAACTATCGATAGTAATTATCGATATATCGATAGTTTGCTACACTATCGAACTATCGATAGTTCTACTTGGACAATCGATAGCAGTCCTTTTGTCTTTTCTCATGTCGGAAATGTCAAGTGTCAAGAAATATCATTCACATTTCATCTTTCACTATGATTCTGTGCATGTGGCATTGTGGCATCGAGGCTCTAAAGTTAATAGATTGTCTGGTAATGGGTAACTTGATGACATCATCTGGTCTGGGGTGCCTGGAGATTTGGAATTATGTTGAGGCACCCCAGATTACGGATGACGCCATAAAAGTTATCACGCAACCAGGGGGCGGATTACGAACTCTCGATTCGATTCGAACCGAAACCGCCATGGATTTCGAACGCACTCCATGCAAATGCATCAGAATGTGTTCGAAATCCATGGCGGTTTCGGTTCGAATCGAGAGTTCGTAATCCGCCCCCAGGGCAACCTACCTCTCTCAAACAACCTTGATCAAAATTCAAAATTAAAAAAGATGAAGATGAGTTATGCGTTATGCTTCCTGTCATATCATCAGTTAAAAACAACAACCTATACAACTCAACTACATTTTATTTCACTTCATAGTGTTGTTTATTTCTGTTCTTTACTACCAGTTTAAAGAAGAAAAAAAAACGTTAATCCATTTTTCTATTTTTTCTCTTTCGTTGTGTTTGTATTGTAGGGCATAGGCCGTAGGGGTGGGGCCTGATATGAAGGCCTTCATCTGCACACGGCAGTCGGAGTTCATTAACAATAACATTTTGGCTGGCCCTGACCTGTTAATTGCTGAAACCCCAAATACAAAATGAGTCCAAAACGTAAACCCTTTTTTTTATCGATAGTTATATCGATACATCGATAGTTTTTATTCGTTACTATCGATATATCGATGGTTAGATTCTTCGATAGTTTCCCACCTCTACCGAAATGGAATTGGAAGAGGGGCCCTCCAACGAGATCGTCCGGGGTGCGTTCAAGGACGGCAATGCTAATGCCAAAAACCTACTTTTCCCCCTCCACCTGTAATGCCGAACCACGTAGGTTGGAGCCGAACTCGAACGCAAAATGCCAATTTTGGCTTAGCTGTAGCCATTCCTGAACGCAGCTCTGATGATATTGAACGTAGGTATCTGTACGAACTAGATGCAAATAGCCCAAGACCGACACCTCTGGAAACAATAATTGCGGTTGGCTTATGTCCAGCAGTGAACCAGTTTGGGCTGATGGAAGATAATTATGATTAACATTGATATATTTCATCCTGTTCAGAATTTTAAAGGCTGTTGTTATTTAAAGCTCGATCATTTTTCGTTTATCAAAAGTTGACATTTTGAGATGTTAACAATAACGTTTTTGAACCAACAGGAACGCTACGATACGTTATACAAGCATAATGTACCTATTGTTTGTCACGAGACAAACGCATGCTTAAAATTAATATCTCAGCCAAGTTATTAATTCAAACGTAAAAAAAAAACGTAGTTATCACAGCAATGGAATATTTAGGAAAAACGTTTGATAAGTGCCATCAAATTGAAGTTATCTAAAGCTACAAAGATGATTTGTTCAATGGAAAGTTTCGATAATAGCTTCTAAGATAATATCTAAGTATATATTTTTGGAAACAAAACCTACCTATGGAATCATATAAAAAGGTCGAAACCCAAGAAAGTAAAGTGAGAGATGTGATATCGCCTAAACTAGCAGCTATAGGAGTAGCTACGTTATCTGGATTGATATTGCAATATCTGGAAATGACAATTACGGCTGCAGTAATTATTCCTAATACAAAACTGGCAACTGATACAGTAATTAAACTGCTAGCGCAGAGAATATAAGCGTGATCCAGTTCGACTTCATTGCTTTTGATACCTCCCATGATTATTGCAACAACGGCTCCGAGAAAGCCAACAACAATTGCTTGGCTCTGAAAAAAAAAAAAACTTTTAGTACACTAAAATAACATCAAAAACACTAAATATCTACGGAACAATACCGACAAGCCAATTTTTTTAAGGGTGCGAGGTCATAGGAGTTCAACTTCACAAATTTCCAATAGAAATCTTTTTCGTTGTCGGCCATCTTAGAAATTTCGTGCCAAGGCTCGTACATCTCAGCTCCTATTGGTCGATTTTTTTTTTGTATTTGTATGAAACAATTATTGCTATAGCTGTTTTTTCATGGTAGCTGTGTATAGAAGAAATTATTTGACATAAAAATGTTTTCGATGTCAATAAAAAAAAAACTACCAATGCCGAGGGTCACGCTCATTAGGCAATAGCGCTACCCTAGTAATCATTAAGGCGACGTCATTCTGTCAAAGTCAAAAAAATGCATTGATTTGATTGGTTGGTTTCTCAAAATCAACTTAGCAGAGAAAGGCAATTCAAATTTTGATGGAACAACTTCTTGCAACATAGAACTACGGTTCTGCGCGAAGGCGTTTAAACGAATTGAACGCATTTTAAGAACATGAGCGAGATGGCACTTCTATTATTTTCAAAAAATTGGCTTGTCTCTTCCACCTTGTACCATTTAATATTAATCTAGCATAAAAGCTAACTTTGGAAATATTGCATTGTGGGATTGCTACATTACCTGTATGAGCGTTAAGTTTCCGACAATAATACTGATTTTTTGTTGAGTCGTGTCCATATGACCAAGATTTGCCTGTGTTGATAATCTTGAAGCAAGCGTCATTTCCAGATTACCCTTTAGGCCCAAGAGAGCGGGTATCAAAATAACCAGCTCTGATATTTCCTCAAATACAGGCCAATGCTGAAATCGAGAAATATATTATGGTAAGGCTTAGGCTATTATATCTCGTATGACTAACTGCATTTGCACATCCATCTCTTAATTATTTTTGGCCTACGTAGGGCAATTTAGATAGTCAAATTGCATATAGTTGCGACATGAAAAATGGACAATTCCGGAATTTTATTAACTTGCAAGCGCAATGGTTTGCCAAATATTTATTGTAAGTTTGGACGATGATAAGGATGAAATTAGTTTTGAGGCGACTATTGCGTAGGAGCGCTGACAAAGCCAGCATTCGAAGTTATAGACCAGCCTGTATTATTAATTTAATCCTCAAAGTTTCCGAAAAACTGGTGACGGATCATCTCTGTGCTCGGTGCTATAACCAATTGATATTGAGGAGCAGTTTGAGTGCTTTTAGTCTCCTGATCTACACTCACAAGTTGTTTGAGCGTTGAAGATAAGTAGGTACTAAGATACATTCAATCTACGCCGACTTTAAGTTACTTTGACAGAGTTCCGCATGCGATATTATTGAGCAAACTTGAAACTCTGACATCTGGCTTCTTACCAGAGCCGGTTTTAAATGGGTGCTATTGGGTGCTATAGCACCGGGCGGTAAATCTGTAAATATAATAAGGGCGGTGCGCGGAGAGAGGTAGTATAGTTGAAATAAAAACTTTAGCAGTCACACTCACACATACGATATTTGTATCAATTGCATTCACTCTAACAGAATTGGGACCAACGTCGACTTTTTATCTCTTGACATCTGGCAACCCTGTGTGTGCTGGTCGACTGGCGAAACTCGAATAGATACGAAATGCTTTCCAGTGACGAGTGACGTACGTGAACTACTTCGCCATAGCAGCTCAGGGTGCGGATTCTTAACTCAGGAAGTACAGTTCGTTGATAGAACGAATGTTTTGTCCTCGGTTTTGTCAAAGTTAACAAGAATGATAAAGACGAAATATTTGTTCCCTCGAGAAGCTCTTTTCCTTGAGTCAAGAGTCAAGAATCTGCACTTTGAGCTGCTCCGAGTAACTCAAGTGCGTCACTGGAAAGCACCTCATGCCATAACTCAGTTATTAAAATTGCCGCTGGGGGCGCTTAGGTCAAAGTTTGGTAACCGCACTCGGCACAAATTGAAATTTTGAATTTATTTCTGCTGTATTTACAAAGTCCCCGTTTACTTATTCATTATTTCCTGGAATATGTACTAAAAAAATCCAAACTAACCCGAACAATAGGTTTGTTCGGGCTAAGTTCAGAATCAGTTCTGAATTTGTCTGCGCTTGCGCATTTGTTTATATATGTTCGATATAAACAAATGGGCAAGCGCAGAACTGGAATACGTAGGGCGATGCTTGAAAGTAGCACCGGGCGCAAAAGTACCTTAAACCGACACTGCTTCTCACTCAACTGAATTCATAGTAGACAGAACGCAGGTGAAGCTTAATGAGATTGGTGTTCTCCAAAGCTCCCAAATAAGACACATTCTCTTCAATCTATTTGTGAATGATGCTGACTCTGGTTTTGTTTCGTCCAAATTTCTTGTATTTGCTGAAGATTTGAATGTGGGAAGTATAGGGTTATCCAAGTTCACCTTGATAAAATAAATTTAAAAAAAAAAGACACTAAAGATTGAGATTGCGATAAAGTTGTCATGGCATTATAAAGTGTGGTTATTGCCATTATGTGTGAATTATAATATCATTTGAATATCCTACGAGGGACCTCCTACAGGACTCAATCCTGTTGAGGTAATTTTGGCAACTTTTTGGCACATTTCAGGCATATCCCGATCATAGGTTGACGAATATTGTTTTTCAACGCGTCAATCGTTAGAAGGTTATTGGCATAAACACGCTCTTCCACATATCCTCACAAAAAGAAGTCGAACGGTGTTAGATCATAGGACCGCATTGGTCAATTCACATCAGCCAATCTAAAAATTATTCGTTCTGGAAACTTTTCTTTTAACAAAGCCCGATTATCTCGTGTTGTGTGACTTGTGGTCCCGTCTGCGGTGGTAAAACGATACATATTCTAAAATGGCATCCATCCAACTAAACAACTACCTACCTGTTTTGTTAACATGTGTCCTTGACCGCTATCAAATGTCACGCGTGTACTTTCTCAAGCACAAAATGGATAACCCTATAGTACAAAGCAATAGCTACCCCGAATGACTGATATGAAAATGAGAATGGAGCTCTACATCAAAATGTAAACTTATGAAGTTCTTCAGGTTACGGTCCCAAACCTTTGTCAATCACCAAATTGTTTGTTCCCAATTTAATATTTTCGAGATCTGGGATCTGGGAGTTACAATCGTATCGGAGTTATTTTATATAACGAATTGGTGTCAAGATCTGGAATATGCATCATGTTCAGGGAAACCCAAATACGCTAAACATATATGCATAGGATTGAACGTGTGCAAAGGAAACTGCTCCATCGCATTCACTTTTTACCAAGATAAATTTCATTAGAATACCATGCGCCACAGGCTCAACCTTACAGATTACCAAGTTGAGTTCGGAGCAGAAAAATGTGTTCCGCTCAATTGTTTCAAACGTTGAGCTCATCCCAAAAGACCCATTCCTGGGCCTAATGACATAAATAACTATTTCACTTTATAAAACAGGGGATATAATAATATGTTTTTTGAACGCTGTAGAAAAATCTGTAGAGGGCAAATTTTAAGTCTCAACTATGTATTTGTTTTTATGAGACTGGTATTTTGTTTTTAAAATATTTTTGTAGGTTTTAGGCACGACAAATTAGGAAATAATAATTACTTAGTCAAATTTCATTATTGGAGTTACCTATATTCAGTTATTGTTTTTCCACTTGTAAGTGGTAGCAGAGCTGGGCAGGGCTTGAGTGCTTTGTGCTTGTGAAAGTGCTTTAAGCACTTTAAGGACTTGAAAGCCCTGTGCTTCAAACCCTTATATATATTTGTAATTGGGGCTTGCAAAGTCAATTACTTAGAAAAGTGCTTGGTAATTTGTAATTGAAAAAAAGTAATTCAAGCCCTTTCAATGAGCTTCAATTAATTTTAGAGGGCTTGAAACACTTTTGGGTGCTTGAAGCACTTTTGATGTGCTTCAAGCACTTTTCAAATCACTTTGAGGGCTTTGTGCTTGTGAAGTACTTTTGAAAATAAAAAGGAATTTGTGCTTGAAATTGAAAGCACTTTGATAAAGGGGTTAGGGCTTAGTGCTTTAACCCCTTTTACTGAGGGGTTTGCCCAGCTCTGAGTGGTAGTGCTGTAGATCTAAATCATCATCATCATCGTCAACTCATCCCGTCCACTGCTGAACGAAAGCCTCTCTTCTATTCTGAGCAAAAAATATCCAGTCGCAGCGATTTTATCAATTTCGTCCGTCAAACAAGCCTTTCTCTATTTCTGAATGCGTCTGATTTTTGGACTCTGAGCTATTTCTTTCTGCTTTCTAATTTCCGGAACTTGTGTTTCATCAGAGGTTAGGTACTTATTTTATTTTATTTTCCAATTGGCCAACAAATAGATATCAATTGCTTGTCCTAGACGCTTTGTTTATTTCAGCAATTTCCATTTGTAGACTCAGTGCAAATAAAATGTATATCCTTATCCTTATATTTCACATGCTTTTAGAAAAAGATGCGGATACACTCAGTGCGCACTGATTGACAAATGGAAATCGCCATTAGTATCCGACCTACTTAGATAGTATTTCTTCTGATACTTTTATCAAAAAATACACCTCACCGGTAATATCGTCTGGGCTGGTATACCGGACAAGAAAAAATATAAAAACTCACTTTCAATAAACGCAAGCCCTTACAAGTCTATGAAGCAATTGGTTAATTTCTATTTATCAAGATCATCTTACCTGTATTTTGTCAAGAACAAGACCAGCAAAGACCATACCAAATCCAGCTATTAAAAATGGTATGAAAACTTGAATAGCAATAGAAAAATAGGTTTCTTCGGTTTGTGCATCGTTACAGATATTAGCCTCAACAACAATATCTGGAAGTCTTCCATTTTCATTTTCATTATTGTCTGGTTCTGTCACCGGTACGATGAAAGTGTTCATTTCTACTGTCGAGTGGATAAGTAAGTCACTATTAGTGTCAGAGGATTTGGAATCTTCCTTTGGTTCTTGTATATGATTGCAGGTATCAGTGTTATCCATGTTTCCTCCATAGTTGTCTTTGCTGAAAAAGAAACTTCAGTTAAATTATTGAAAGACTGACTATCGAAAATAAAAAAATATATACCAATCCTATAGCTACGAAGGTTCAATCTCAGAAAAAATTACAAATATCTTGTTAAATGACAAAGTGAAAATAGCATGCGAATCTTCCAATTTCCTATCAATTTATTTTTTCAAAAATCTAGGGCCTATGAACTGCAATGAGTGTGATGTTTTTCATATTCAAACAAATGGGGAAAAATTTTGAAAGAGGTAAAGAACACAATGCATGTTATAGGTTAAACAGTACCGCTAATTTTGCAAAGGATTCAAATCATCATTTTCCATCAGATATTGTTGCGAACATGCAACGCCTTTTATTAAAAATAAAATACTATTTCTTATTGGTCTCATGAAACTACCGTCTTTGGTCTTGACCTCTGCTGCTCTGATTTTATCGTCCTTTCCAGTTAAAACTCTGGTGACTCTGGCTAGAGGCCATTTAACTGGATGACTTGGTTCGTCAACAAGTAAAACTAGATCTCCAACTTTTTTTTTGAAGTCAAATAAGCTTGGTTTGAATGTACTAGTGTTACCAAAGGGGCTGTAAGTTCCTGAATTATTTGGTACAGCCCAGTTACCAACTAAATTGTCGAAAATTTGAGTGTGGGAAGTGTTCTGGTTCTGGTTTAATGAATCAGAATGCATCGCAGTCTGTGGGAAATTGTATAGAGTTTGAGATCTAGTTTTACTTGTTGACGAACCAAGTCATCCAGTTAAATGGCCTCTAGCCAGAGTCACCAGAGTTTTAACTGGAAAGGACGATAAAATCAGAGCAGCAGAGGTCAAGACCAAAGACGGTAGTTTCATGAGACCAATAACTAAACTTTGCATATTACCCAATAATGACAACTAGTATTAAATGTTTGTTTGGATTAATTCTCTCATTTTGGAGTTGGCACTCCAACGGGGGTGTATGTTGCGAACATGCAACGCCTTTTATTAAAAATAGAATACTATTTCTTGTTGGTGTCGGCAACGGGGCTTTGTGAAGACCGCGAGTCATGTGGCAACCCTGTGCAACAAAAGTCAGTGTCAAGCAACTAAAAGCAAGGTATGAACTAGTAAAAATATAACGGTGTGTGACTCCGCGTGTAATTACTAATAGGGGTTAGAAAAATTTTTCTTTTTGACATTTTAGTTGGTAACTGGGCTGTACCAAATAATTCAGGAACTTACAGCCCCTTTGGTTTTGAGACAAAAACACGACAAAACTGCGACAGATATCATATATCAATAGTCTTAAAATTTTGTATAGCAACAGAAAAGGATTTTTGAATTTTCTCAATTTTCATAATTTTGATTTTTTGGAACATGTTCAGCAAGCATTATCTTGCATCACTTTGCAAGTTTGCACATTCTACTAACAGAGGTAATCACACCATTGTTTGCTATACATGAAAAGTCACGCGGAGAGTGATCTTCCATCCACTTCATACATTAGAAAAGTCACTGGCAGACACCCCACGAAATAGAGCATGACTTCTAATGTATGAAGTGGAGGAAAGATCATTCTCCAGTCAGACTCCGAGGTCATCAACTAGGATTTTCCACTCTAGCTCAATGGAGGCGATCAAGTAATCATAAACTACTGGTTGTTTAATTCTACAAAACGTGATGATACAACACTTGTGCTGTTATTAATGTAGTTGTACGAAACGGTCGTAACCTAGGTAGTAAGGAAAAAGAACAGGTATAAAAGTAAGGAAGAAGTACAAGCGAACAAACAGTAGAGGGAAGCGTGGCAGAACGGGGTAGCGGGGTAGACGGGGTACTGTCATAAAGCCATCGTACCAAATTTCAGCGCTGTGCGACAATTTTAATTTTTTCTAACTTTTTGAAAAATTCCGCGCGACGTGTTCAGGCGAATAAGTCATTGAGTAATTAACGAAAAAAAAAATCCGCTGGGGCATTATGAGAGGAACAAATGGGCTGCCGATTGTCGAAAACTGTCACCAAATATTTGGCTCCGTTCAGAAATTACAGTGAATGCAAGAAAGGGGTAGTTTTCGATGTAATTTACAACTTTCTAGCCCATTAGGCGAGTCCGTGCTCGCTTAATTTTCAAGTCAAAAATTCGAACAAAAAAGCATTGGAGATTGCATTTCATTAGCAATAATGTGGTGTTTGAACAATTAAAATCGGATTAGGCATTCGGCCGCTGCTGCACCAAATGCGCGCAAATAGGCGAAACGCTGATTCAGTGACCTTGAACAAAAACATGCTACTATTCATGACGCTACAGAAAAAAAACTATAGAAGATAAAGGGGAGCTGTCTCGGAGTTTTTTATACCAAAAAACCTCAGCTACAACAATCATTTGAAACTTTTTGCTATTGGACCATTCCTTTGAGCAGCGTTCTCCATAAACCGCAAATTACCCCTAGAAAACACCCCTAACTAAAAACCCTATGGAAGTACAAGGACATTTGGCAACATAGCACAAAAAAGAATGGATCAGGTAGTTGAAAGGATCATTCTGATTTTTGATTTTTCAGTTACTTGAAGTATTAAACGCGCGTAATTCAATATTTTTTTAAAATAAAATGTTTACAAACGTCGAATATGCAGGTATATGTTACTTGTTTACCTAGAATCGTTGCAAAAGGCTCATGTAGCCGCCGGAATTTACAGGGAAAGATTTCCTAATAGGACGGCACCGAAATATTGCGTGATACGGGAAGTGTAAGTGAGCAAAATGTTAATCGGGGATCTGCAAGTTAAATGAAACCTGCCAATGAAGCACAGATTTTGACGATAGTGAAAAAGAGTCCTGGAATAAGCACACGATCCATTGCCCGACAAGTTAGTTATTTCCACTCAACATTTCATAGGATCTTCCTACAAAATTCGTGTTACCCTTATCATGTATTATTACACTAGGTTTTTATTGGGAACTTTCTGCGCAGCGCGCAGTTTATTATGTTTCAGTTATGGTGGTTTTAGTGTTTTGGAAACCTTGTAGGTACCTAACAAAAATTACTATTTCCATAATCAGGATGTGACAAGTAGCTGAGTAAGTATTATTTAATTTCTCTTTTGAATGTTTAGTGCAATTCACAACATAAAATTGGCACATTTTTTATTTTCACTAGAAAAAAAATATCTATACCTACTGACCATTGAAAAAAAAAAAATGTATTTCCCAACATACATGTCACGTCGTTGAATCTGTTGCTATTAAATGGAGGGTTTTAAATTTAAAATACCCTATACAGGGTGTCACGAAAGGTTTGTTACAAACTTCTAGGGATGGTAGATCTCGTAATAATTAAGTTTTTTTTTTATAAACATATGGCCGGAAATGCTTCGCTTTCCAGATACCAGGTGCTAGACTTTGTAAAAAAAGTCAATTTTTTTATTAATTGTTGAGCGTTATAGGAAAAACATTTTTTTTTTTTAATTTTTATTTTTAAGCAAAAAAAAGTGAAATTTCAGGTAATTTAGAAGCAATTTATTTTTTATTTATGGAGGTCAGTGACGTTCCTGGTTCGCCTAAAATGGTTTCTAGATTTTATCTCGAAAACGAAGCTGCATACTAACAAAAATGAGGAGACAAAAAAGTTGCATCTTCAAGTGTTTTATTCATAAAACGTATCCTTATTGAAAAGAAATCTATAGATGATGTTTTTCGTGCAAAAAACCATCCGACATAACCTGTGGCATGCCTCTGAAATTACTGGGTCAACTCAACTCCGAGCAGTCCAAAACATAGCCCACAGACGTATCAACAAACTGAAAATTTCATTAAATTCGTCCAATGCATTTCTGAGAATTAATAAAAAAATTAACTCTTTTTTACACCCATATGTTTATCAAAAAAAAAAAAAAAAAACTTAAATCTTACGGGATCATCTACCATCCCTAGACGTTTGTAACAAACCTTTCGTGATACCCTGTATAATATATAGGTATTACAATATTATTATAGACCTAAAAAGGTATTTACCTGGTTAATGTAATCATCCGTTCGTAAACTATTTACATTTTCAATTAAAAAACATCAACTATAATTACGTACCTAGCACTTTAACCAGATTTAAGTTAACAATGGCTGTGATAATTAAAATTTGCACAACTAAGAAATATTTGGCTAATTTAACACGTTCGATTACGTCGGTAAGTAATAACAAAATTATTAATTATGAGTGGGTAATATTTATACGTGTATGCAACTTTTGATTGAATATTGAATCAACGGTAATATTTTAATGAAATTATTTTTTTCGAGGTTTCTTTTGAAAGTAGTGTAGTAGACTACATTATTACCTTTTTAGTTTTTGAGGTATTATTTTTAATAATGCATGAATTATGGTACCCAATGTGCATGCATAGGAAAATAAAAATTTATTGAACGCAGATTTCGATTGTTGATTTCAAAATAACTGACTGGAAATGGCGTGAATTTCAAATTAAAAAAATAAAATAAAATGGTTATATAAGGCTAAGTAAATAAGAAAAAATTGACAATTACCATTGATATTGACTTAATATTTTTCAAATATATATCAAACTAATTCTAGATCCTATATGCTGTAAATATGAAATACTTACACTTATTTTTAATTACAAAGGTGACTTCAGCTCAGCTAAAGGAGAAAGTAAGAAAAGTCCAAAGAAAAACCCAAAATGACAGATGAAACAAACTATTTCTTGTAGGTAAAGTACGAAAAGAATGGTAGAAATCCTATTTTTTATATAGGTACATACTTATTCAAAATTCGCGCCATCTTCAGTCGGTTTGAATTTCTCAATTTTCTCAGTAGATTCGCAATCAGCGACCATAAAAGCCCCGACTACTACTGTACGAAGAATCCGAGTAATTTCAATATTGAACCGTTTATTTGAATTTTTGTATAAAAGCTATCATTTTTCAATTTGAAGCATTTACTGAAGTAGGTAAATGCGATCGTTACTTAAAGTGAATCTGTGGTTATACCTATAGGTACCTATGCATTTTCC